TAATATCATCTTAAATTTCCAGTCTTTTGATCAAAATTAGAAATAAAAAGGTGAAAAAGTACATGACTTTAAAAGTTTGAGCACATGACAGGAATAGGTTACACTGTGCTAAGCTGGCCAAGGAAGAGACTAGGATCTTGTGTGAATCTATTTTATTTGGGGAAAATTCCAAAATTACTCCCTTCACATAAGCCACCACAGGGGGCAAAAGCAACCACAATAACATTAACTCAAAATACAGGTTACGTTCATTTAAAATACATGAAGCCATCCACAGCAGCAGTGGCAGAGGCAGAAAAAAACAGTATTTCAAATGTTTCCACCTCATTGGGAAAAAGGCCAACTTAGAGTATAATCTGAACTGCTTTCTTTCTAGGGCCTCTGTGAAGAGATAGTAACACTGGAGAATAGAGTGGAGTCAGAAAGTCACCAGATACATGCAGGTACAGAGTTAGGGATTAGGGATAGAGAGGAAGGGGACAGGCAGAAAATAAAGATAGGAAGCCAGAAAGGCAAACAGGCCTGCAAAACCTACAGTGTCTGTTTTCCTACCACTGGTCTCTGCAGCAAGATACTGGTGGTAGATTGCATCATTGTCACCAGTTTTATTCCAACTACCTCCCTTTGCTATGTGACCTTTCAATTCTTTGTACTAGTGGTAGAGTGTACCTTCCCACTCTTTGACTTTGGAGTTGGCCTGTGATGTGCTTTGGTCAGTGGGATGTTAGCAAATTTGCCAGAGGTTTGAAGTGTGCTTGTGTGTTTGGCTTATCTCTTGGAATTGTTTATCACCATGAGAAGAACATGCTCCACTAGCATTCTGATCCAAAAAGGATAAGAGATTCATGGAGCAAACCTGGACCCAAACTGCAGACTAGAGTTGAGTCCAAACACGGTCAGCTGAGTCTAGCCTATCTGGAGACATGTGAGCAAGAATAAATGACTGGATTTCTTTTTTAACCTTTTACTTTGAACTACCTTTAAACTTATACAAAACTTGCAAAAAATAGTACAGACAGCTTCCATGTATCACTCACACACTCTTTCCCAATGTTAATATCTTACATAGCCATAGACAATTACCAGGAAATTAATACCAGTAACCAAACTAAAGATCCTTTTCAAACCTTACCAGTGTTTCCACTAAGGTCCTTTTTGTTCTAGAATCCCATATGGACTGTGGATGTTATCTCTCCCTAATTTCCTGCACTCTATAATAGTTCCTCAGTCTTCCCTCGTCTTTCATGGCCCTGACACCTTCATGGAATACTGATCAGTTATTCAGGACTGTCTGGTCATTGTCATGATTAAACTCAAGTCATGCAACCATAACTGAAGTATCACAGAAATTATGTCATGTTCTCAGAGCATTGTATCAAGGAGTTTGTGATGTCGTATCTTATTCCTGGTGATACTGGCCTTGATCAACTAACAAAAGTAATCTCTACTGAGCTTTTCCACTGTGGTAAACAAAAATCATGGCAAACTACCAAACTGTGAAAAAGTCTGGCAGTTTCTCAAAAAGTTAGACACAGTTACCGTATGAACCCAGCAATTCCAAATCTAGGTGTATATCCAAGAGAACTAAAAACATATGTTCACACAAAAACTTGTACATGAATGTTTACTGCAGTGTAATATATAATAGCCAAAATGTGGCAACAACCCAAATAACCACCAACTGAGGAATGAATAAACAAAATGTGGTTTAGCCATTGGGTGGAATACTATTCAGTAATTAAAAGGAATAACAGACTTCAAATCATGCTGTACACCTTAAACTTATACAACTGATTTATATATGTTAATTATATATCAATAAAAGTGGAATAAATAAAATATAAAACAACTACAAAAAGGAATGAAATACTGATATAACATGGATGAACCTTGAATGTTTTACATTAAATGAAAGACAGACACAAAAAGCCACATATCATGATTCCTTTCACATGAAATGTCCAGAATAGGCAAATCAATAGACACAGTAAATTAATGATTATCAGGAGCCAGGGGAAGGGAGGAATAGGGAGTGACATCTAATGAGTATTGTTTCTTTTTGGGGTGATAAAAATGTTCTGGACTTAGACAATGGTGATGGCTGCACTATTTTGCATATACTAAAAACCCTGAATTGTTTTAAAGAAAATCATAGGGGAAATATTTTGAGATTATACAAATCTCCTTTCCCCTCAAATTTTGCACACCATTAGAGGGATCTGTTTGCAATAACTGCCACTGTGGTGATAGTCTAATGGTAGTTTTCTACTCCCCTCCTTCCTTACACATAAATTAATCAAAATTTTACTGCAAGAGAAAACTGTCACTCCATCTATTTAATTATTTACTTTACCTGTATGTTCTCACAGATATATTGTTCTGTGAGTTATAATCCAATATTGTCATTATTCATTTTGTTGTTCAAATTATTTCAGCTTTGGCAATTAGGAGCTCCTTCAGGTTAGCTCTTATGTTGCTTTGACAAATCCCTCCCCCCTTCCATTTTCTTTTTTCAAGTATTTCCTTACTTTCTGGCTCCATAAGATGTTTCAAGTTCATCTTGCATTTTCCTCTCCTCAGCCTTGGAATCAACTACTTTTCAAGGATTCCTAGCTTCTTCTATTGAAGAACAGTGTTTAGAAACCACTATTTGCATGATAGGTGTGCTCATTACTACTACAGCATCATAGCTCCGGGGGTTCTACCTCTAGGACAGGGATAAGAAATTTATGTATGTGTATACATATACATATATGCATATGTACACAATCTACATTTCTGCATCTGTCTGTGGATCTTTTAGAAACCAAAAGTTTATACCAATATCTCAGATTCCAACCTAAAATATGTCTCTCCTTTCCTTATTTGTGACTTCATTCTTCAATAGTGAGACACCTGCCTCTTATTATCTGCAATATTTTACTTATTGTTCAATTCTAGGACACATATAAAGTAGTTTCAAAATTGCTAACCCATATCCCTGTGAGAAACACATTTACTAAACTATATGACAGCATTTATATACAGTCTCTTTATCTTGAGTTTTACAGTATCTAGTCAAGATATCATTTCACAAGGTCTTTTTCTTCCCTACCCACTTCATTATGATTATGTTTTCAATTTGTAATCTTTGGTTCATTTGTTAGCGTCTATTCCATTTTGTGGTTCTGACTCCTCCACATCATGAATGGTTTAATTTTTTATTTTGGGGCATCTGAAGGGTATGTTAAATATTACTACAGTTCTAAGAATCAGAGCTATACAAAAAGAAATTACTGTTATTTTAAGCTGAGTTTTAAAGTGGTCTGCTTATTGTGGCAATTCATTCCAGTAGTCCTGAAACAAGGAAATTAAAAATGTCCAATATAAAGAACAGTTCTTTCTCCTGAAATTATATCATTTCTATCTTTTTAGTGTTAAAATGTCCTTTTATAAAATGAGATAATGATGTTGATGGATGATAGTCGGTTGTTTCTATATTAAGGCCCTTATTAACTCAGCAAAGTAAAAAACTTGGCTTTTGGTCTCCCAAATTTTCTTTTAAAGTTTTTCTGGTCCATGAAACACCATAGTCTAGAAACCACCCATCTATTCTACCAACCATTCCTAGGACATATGAGAATTATTCCCATTGCACACTTTAAATATGTGAATTTTATGGTATATAAATTTTATCTCAACAAAGTTGTTTAAAAAATTCATTTCTTTGGATAAAGCAGTACTTCTCCTTTTGAACCCAGAATGGCAATTAGTCTATCAGATACAGTTCAAGGTGACAGCAAGAGTTCTAGGGGTCAAGAAAAAGCTAAGCTCAGAGCCTAAACATAAACCCAGAATGACAGTTCAGGGTAGGGTAGGAAGAAGAAAATGGGCCTAGAAAGCCTGAAGCCATGAACACCTGGGCAAGAAGAATCCTGGTAGAAGGGTAGATAAGAAATACTGATACAAGATTTAGAAGCCAACTCAAATGCCCATGAGAGGCAGGCAAGTAAGAGAGGTGAGTGAGGAAGGTCTTCTGTAAGACAACAGGGAGTGGTGAGAGCCAAGAAAAAAAATGCCTCCTCTAAAAGCATTCAAATTTTAAAATATAAAAGCCAAACAAAATGTATCTATAAATGGAATTCAGCCCACAGTCAATTTGTGTCTACTAGAAAAGATGTTTCACCTATTGACAAATCTTGCCTGACTCAGTCTTTGTCCCAACTCATCCTAGTGCCCAGTGATTGGAAACTTATCCCTTCTGGATTCACAGTGGCAGCATCCTCCTTGGGTAGTGCCAGCAATGAGCCTGCTATGTAACCTGGCTGCCCTGCTTCACTGGAGACAGGGCTAACTGAGATGCATGTGGCAGTGCCCTTGTTTTTGCATTGGCATCAGATGCCCTGGGAGTTTTATGTCACTGGCAGGTTTAAGAAACATGGGGTGTGTCCTCCATAGGCTTCTAACTGGAAACCTCCCCATCCAGGGACTCCCAGACTCTTTCAAGTCATACCTGGATGCAATGGCAGAAAATCAAAGGCTGCCCTGACATGGCTTGCTCAAATGAGAGCTGACCATGTGACCAAGAGCCCCGGAACTCTGCTACCCACTCAGCTCTTTGAGGGTCAGGTAAATTCAGCCAAATTTTTTTCTTTCTGAATCATCATGCGCTTATATGTCAAATGACAAGAATCTATTATGTCTGCTTTCCCTAATGTATTAGATTTGTTGTGAAGAATTAACGAGTAAACACTGTGTCAGTGCTCAGAATAAGTTAAAAGTGCTTCAGAAAACACACCTCCCAAAAGGTAAATGTCAACCAAGAGAAAAGAAAGACATTTTATCTATCAAGTCCTGAAGGTATGTGTTAACAAGAGTAAAAATTCCTGATTATGCCAAGTTTCTGAAGGGCAGGGACCAATTACTTGTGCCCACAGCTCAGGTTCAACTCCAGGCACACAGCAGGCCACAAGAAAGGTCAGCTTGAATGCCAGCCCCCCCCCCGCCCCCACTTCCAAGAACAGAAGGAATAGGAGGAATATGGAACAGGAAGCAATGCCACTCACCTCACGAGGGCCTCCATGCTCCTAACCAGGGCTCCTCAGAGCTGAGACTTCACAGACCCAGTTGCCATGACTACCACAGCCCTTGTCCTGCTTTTTTATTCAAAATCCCCAAACAAGTCCTGGCAAGATCCCTGCTTCACACAAATGAGCATCTATCCTGTCTCCAAGGCAGGACTTGAACTGAATCAGTAACAAAAAAATGTGCACAAACCTCTCTAGGGTGCTGAACCCTGAACCAATGCTTAATGTTATTTTTTCTAAGGGAAAAACAAAGAGAGAACTTTTGTGTATGCAGTAAAACATATAGTGAACCAGTCTGGATTGTAATTATATTACACATTTTTTAAAAGGACTAAACAATGACAAAATGAGAAAAAATAAAACTATCCTCCAAACTGATTTTTCATTCTGTCATATAATCTACAACTGGGGCAGGCAGGGCCTTAGAAGAGATCTCTGACATGGCTTCCAAGCAAGGATGGAAATTCATCACCTGCATTAAGGCCCTTCAGATCAAGAGACACCATAGTCTTCCTCTGGGAATAGCTATCCTGACAGCTCCTATCACACTCCAGAACTACTTTCCAAATTCTTATATGCAGTGACCTAACCAATGTTTCCTTCCCCATTCTCAAGAAGGATAGACAACAGTTGCTCCCCAACCTCTATATACAGAATTCACAAAAGCAGTGCACTTCACCGACAAGGACTAGCAATGCTACTTAGAAGATTTCCTCTGCTACAGTTGGAGAGAGAACTCTGAACAGCCATCAGAATAAAAGCTCAAGGTAACCTGTATATAGAACACAGTGATCTTCCTTCCACAACTGGCTAGTCAATAAGCATTTAGTGAAGATCAGGTATGAGCCTCTCTGCTCTGTTCTGGGCATTCCTTCTACCACACCTTACTGAGTACCCACTGAAGAAGGCCACTTGTTGGGCTGGGCACTGGGAAGGATACCACATTAACAAGACCAACGGCTGCCAATGAGGAGTGTGAAGTAAATGAGGAAGAGGGATAACAACATTTAGAGTTCCAAGTCCAGAGAACAGCTTTCAAGCAAGCAAAGAAGTGGGTATATTCAGGGGGCAATGAGTAAATCCATTTGAAGCTCAGCATATAAGACAGGGAATGTAAGAAGCAAGGAGACCAGTTAGAAAACCATTATACTTGACCTAATCAGATGTAATAAAGCTCAAACGAGGGGAATGGATAAGGAATGAGAAGAATGAGGTAGTAATAAAAGATGACAGTATTTTGACCAGAAAAACTAGGAATATTATCATGGCCCTGTTGGTCCTCCTTCCTCAAAAGCACCAGACTTTTAGGCATGTGCAGTGACTCCTCCCATCAGCCCAGGAGACCTGTTAGAGCCCCACGATTTAATAAAGCCAGGGATTGAGTAAAGGAGAACAGAGGAGAAGAGACAGATGGGCTAGAGACCCATGGCACCCCATGCCTGTTTCCTAGCCCACTGATTCCCTCCATTCCATGTCTATCTTTACCCTCAATGTGTCCCAATTTCCTCTTTAGAAGAAGATCCAGTGGGACTAACAGGTATAGCACGGCCCCTTAATCAGAGCACTTGAATTTTTACATCCATGCTGGGAACTGGTTTTCAATAACCCTATTGATTGCTATGGTCTACTAGTTCCTGCCATTTCTCTTTTTTAAAATATATATTCCCCACACACCCTCTACTCTCTCAACCCTACAAAATCTTGAATATATTCAGATTTTAATTCATTTTCAATTGTGTATAGTGTATGTGTTAGGGATGAAGAGACTGGGAAATGGCTCAAGAAAATTAGAAGAGGAAAGGAATCATTAAGAGACCAAAGACCAGGCAGTTGCAAATAAACCACAGCACAGCTACACTTCTAGCTCTCTAATCCCATTTAGGAATTACTGAGTTAAATAAAATCACTTTTTAGAAAGTCTCACTATAATTGAACTTAACCATGAGATACTGGCAATGAGCTTCACTTAATAATTAGGAGGGGGGAAATGGCAAATTGGGAGTGGAGGAGTTAAATATGCCCTTTTCCCAGCAGTCAGGGGCCTTAGCTCCACTACAGTGCATTTTCTGGAGAAGATTCTGGAGAAGATTCCACTGTGCCTGCATTTCCCACCCAGGCACAATTTCATTAGCAGCTCATTAGCAAGAGTGGCAACCATTCCTGACTCTTGTTTTTCATAATATTTATTGGTTAATTGACACTTTGAACACAAGTTGACTGAGAACCAAATGAAAGCGCTAAAACCACTCATTAGTCAAATTTAAAACACAAAGACTGTATTCTAAATATATCCTTTGTTTCCATTTGTTTTCCTCAAACAGAAGTCATAATTTAATAAGGGGGTTAAGAAAGCAAAGTACCAAGATACTGTGATTTCCTTTTTTAATCCTCTCCCTACTCCAACCCTTTCAGTCCCCAGGGACCCTGACATCATAATTGGCTCTATTTGTTCCATTTTACAGTACCTGTTACCTCCACAGCCAAACACAGTTCTGTGAATTATTTCAAAACAGTTATCAGCTACCCCCAACCTTTACAATTTCCCCAGTGCCTGTTGCAAAAGCCCCTTAGTTTGGAAGCTCCCTGCAGTGGAAAGAGAGGAATTGCACAGGAATGAGTTGAGCAAAATTCCTAGGCAGAATTTCTCTCTAGATCAGCTCTAAAGACAGGACTCTTAAGACTCCCTTTTTGAAGGAGGCGGGCACAGAATGCAAACCAGACGGGAAAAGATGCAGATGGAGCAAAAGATACAGTGTGGAGAAGGAAATCAAGGAAACAAATGGTCCCAAGTCCTTGCCCCTGCATCGTCAGAGGACGTCCCGTAGATGTAGGCAACTTGAACGACAGAATGAGGTTAGTCACCTGAGACTTCTTTCACCTACCAAAGTGTAATGACAATCCCAACTTGCTGCCTCTGAACTTAAAGTTGTGGATCACGAGTATTAAGAGACCTACTAAGTAGTGCTGTGCTTTGCTCTCTTCACCTGCACTGCTAGTTTCACCAGAAGGAGCTACAGCCTCTAGCACTTAGGTGACCTGGTCAGTTATCCAGTGCAGCGGAAGAGGGCACAGGGTGAGGCAGACCTGGGCACCAGGTCTAGTTCCACAGCTTAACAGCTGTGAGATCTTGGGAAAATAAGCTCTGTGGCCCATGTACAGAATGAGGCTCAGGGTACCTACAACTTCATAGAGTTCATAGAGTTGCACTGTGAGGAGTAAGAGATAATGCAAGTGGGATGCTTAGGGTTGACTCCAGAGAGCTCTCAATAATGGTGTTTGCCAGGCTCTTATCTCTCTTTGACTCGATCAGTTTTCCCAACTATGAGACAGGGACCAGTGCCATTATACAAGGTTACAGGTGTTAACAGGCTCTCAGGACGTACTTGATTAAGTGCTGTAGAGGATAGGTGAGTCCATGATTTTTACAGGATATTCATGTCAGACTGCCTTATTACGGTTGCAAAAAGTTCAATGACAGTGAAGATTTCAGGACATCCAAATTGAGGGGGCAGGTGGTTAAACCAGGCCTGTACCACCCTGTAAATACCCACTATAGCCTTCCTTGGCTGGGGCCAGCAGTAGGCCAAGCAAACCCATTTAAGATGGGACAGTGTTAACATGAAAGGACCTGGAGATGACCATTCTAAGTGATGCCAGAAAGAGAACGAAAAATATATGTGGAATCTTAAAAAATGATACAAATGAACTTATTTACAAAAAAGAAACAGATTCAGAGACAAAGAAAACAAACTTATGGTTACCAGGGAAGAAAGGACATGGGAAGGGATAAATTGGGAGCTCGAGATTTGCAGATACTAATTACTATATACAAAATAGATAAATAACAAGTTTCTACTGGATAGCAAAGGGAACTTTATTCAATATCTTGTAGTAACCCATAATGAAAAATAATATGAAAATGGATATATATATGTATGACTGAAACATTATGCTGTACACCAGAAATTCACACAACATTGTAAACTGACTATACTTCAATCAAAAAAAAAAAAAGCTGGGACAATGTCTATCTACCCCATTCCCCAAAACATCAGAACAGAAATCAGAGGCCATACCCAGTAGCATAACCCAGGGAAACGAGGGGGAGGATTTAAATGAGAACAACTGACAGCCAGCAATAAGGGAAAAGGGTTTCAGGTTTCCCAAGAAACTTAATTCAAACACAGGATTAAGCTAGTTTTGCAACAATGCACCATAGAGCTTTATAAAAGCAGCTGCCTTGCTCAGGCTTCATGCTCCTCAGGGGACTGTGCTTGCCGGTGCCCATCCAAGCATGGGTGAGGAGGCCTGGATGTTACAGGCCACTGAGCACAAGGTTGGTGCTCCAGCAAACCTGCTGATGTGTATACTTCTGACAAGCAGCCTGCTCCATACTTCCAACCCGTTGTCACAACAGCTGATGCTGCCCTCAGCTGTGCCTCCCCACAAATGTTCCCAATCCTGAGCACCTAATGTGAACTCTGCAACAAGATTTTATACACTCTACCTGCTATACACTCTTAAGTTCCCTACAATGACCCAAGCAGTGCTTGAAGTTCTAGCCTTGGTGTGTACTCCTATTCATGAGTGGATTCACTCCCTATTGAGTGCTTCTGGTCTATATCCTTTTTGATAGAAATCACCTCACAAAAAGTCATCTCCAAGACACCCTATTTCCACCTCCCATTTCAAATTTACAAAACAGAAGGCAAAATCCTCAGAACTCCAGGGATGCCAACATCATACGCTAGAAGTAAACTTAGGAAATCATGAGGTCTAATCTCCACTGAAAAGATACATGATGCCTCCTGTGCCATGCCTTCTGCCAATGCAGCCAGGTGACGCATCCCCCAAAGGATAACTCTGTTCGCACCCCTCTTCTTAAAAACCTTCAGTGGTTCTTTGCGAAATTCCCAAGTGCCAACACCAGTACCCAAGTTCAAGGCCCACCCAATGCAGTAAGGTCCCTACCTGATATTCTCTGCCTTATATCTCC